ACTGTGGTGAGTCTTTGAGTAATCATAAGGAGACCCATGCTGGATCAGATTAGGGTCCCATCTAGGCCAGTATTCTTTGAAGGCAAATATGACTGTGTTAGACCTCTTTACCAGTCTTTCACCTAACTGTATATTTAATCTGATAGGAGTGTGGTCATTGCTTGCAATTGTTTCAACAACGTTTACATCCTGTACTATGTCCTGGGCAAGCCCACCTAGGATTAGAACCAGTACTGCCTGTTCTCGGGTTGGTTCCGTGCCAACTGTTCTACCTCACAGTCATTTAGGATGTGAAAAAAAAATTAATCTCTTCATCAGAACTGGAATGTACATTTATCCAGTCAGTGTGGGAGTAGTTGAAGTCACACGTGTTTGTAACACTTCCTTGTTTGGAGGCATTCCTGATTTCCTTTTCCTTTTCAGGTTTACCCAGGGGATTCTGCAGGTTGCTAGGATTAAAGTAATTTTGGAACCAGGCTTTGTTACCTACAGTGTTCAGCCAATGAATGTTCCCCTTTTAGGTGAGTCAGCCAGATATGATGCTGTCTTTGACAACAGAGCAGTACCTACTCCAGCATGCCTTCCCTATACTTCCTAAACAGAAAGGACTGTACCACACAGGCTTTCTCCAATTCAGCAGGTTTCCCAATGGCTCTAGGGCTCTTCACACTCAAGAATGCTGGGATCCAGTCCTGAGCAGAACTAGTATGGAACTTTCTGTAAACTTTCCATCTCACGTTCCCATCTTTCCATAAGCCACCTTCCTTCATATATTGTTCTGGTATTCAGTGACAGCAGCAACAGTATGACCAGAAATTCTCTACTCAGTTCAATCCTATCTTGACCCGCATGGGGATTATTCCTTTTCAAATATCCTGCTGTGAGAATGGAGGATAGTATGTGTGGGTACACAGAGATTCAAGGGGAAAATACCTTGTTCTAACTTTTCCTTGAACCAAATGATACCAAACCGAATACCAATTTTCAAAGAGATTTTGTAGACTCTTCCTGGCTTTCACACATGGCTTGACGTCTTATCTGAAAGTGTTACCATTTTTGAGTTCAACTACAGCTCATCACAGAAAAATATGAGATGCTACCTAATACAATTGATATTGTTGTCATTCGTTACACAACATCATGCTGCCTGGTTTGACAGGGATCATAATGGTGGACCTATTGTTGCATCATCACCTACAAGGTCTTTTGCCTCATCAGCAAGATTCGCACTCTGTGTACTTAGTGAATGTTCCATCTTCTCAGCATGGGACAAGTACCACAAGCTCATGTCATTATTCACTTATTCATATGGCAGACTGAGATCCTTTTATAGCTGAAAATCCAAACTTGGCTGAAGGAGGGGTTTTTTTTCTAAGTGCAATGCTGAATAGCTTTTTTTCCCTTGTTCTGAAGATGCATTTTTCATAAGAAAAGCCATTTTGGGAGAGTGGGCTCAAGTAGGGCTCAAGCCTTTTATTAAGAAAACATTAATTGAGGACTTCATGCTGGGCACAGTGTCTTAAGCTAGAGAAATCTGTTTAGTCAGTAACTTTTACTTCCCTGCCAGTCAGTAGTCAAGCAAAGCAGTAGCTCCCATTTGACTGATGATAAACTTACTCAGTTTAAAAACTATGAAGTATCTTGGCTCTTCAACAGCAAGACAGAGATTTTGGCTCTGAGTAGGAAGTGGGATAGTGCCAGATCCTGCAGATAAATAGATATTGGCAAAACCCTGGAGACCAAAGCGTCATGAGGATGTCCTTTGTGTCATCCACCAGTGAAAACTGGAAGATACTACTATAACGGTATTTTTTCCCAAAGAGGAGCCCATCAATGTTCACTCTACTCTCACAATGTAGCACAGGTTTGTCGCACAAACCTAAGCATGGGCAACAGAGATTGCTGCAGAAGTGACAGTATAGTGTGCTTATCTTTAGATAGACTATAGTCTTCCCCAACTTTTTTCAAAGGGAATACTGGAATATGGCCAAGACATGTCAAGAGTTTGTCACCTGTGTGGGGGCTGTAATATAAGTACAACTTATGTTTGGGTCTAGGGTAAATGGATGACTGTTAAGCATGAGGTGGCTCTAGCAAGGGAGGCAAGACAAACTCACTAAAGTTCATATTTCAGTCAGGCAACATCAAGCAACTAAGTTTCAGGGAGAAAAAACAGTCTTACCGGGACAGTTCTATGTTACACACAATCTAAAAAGTAATGCAAGCTGGATTGAATGGCGCTGAGTCTTAAAGCAGAACTGGGGTCCTATCTAGGCTAACTTCAGCAATCTGAAGAGCGGTGGTTCAGCTGAGGCTACTTGAATGGCAATATGTGATCTCAGTCAAGAAAGGAGCTACGAAAACCCAGGCTCCTCCTTTCTAGCACTTATTTCAATGGCAAATCTTTCACCCCTGACATTTTCTCTGTTTCCATGGCCTCAAACCCTGAAAATATACACTGTTTGTTTCACTATATCTCAGTTAAGATACCTGCCCACAAAGTCTGTTCAGAGTTGTCTGGAACATGTGATCCTCAGGATTAATTCCATCTCTCTTGTTCTACTTTCAGCAGTTACTACTGCATCACTAGAATGACTGGGATCAAACCACCTGAATCTAAAATGGGAATACACTGACAAGTGAGATACAGGCAGTCCCTGGGTTACAAATGAGTTCCATTCCTTAGAAAATGGAAAGTTGTCTTTAAGTCGAATTTGTATGTATATCAGATCATGTGTAGTCACCCTTCCACATTCTACTACACATCAGGGATGCAGGACCCCCATGAAAGTGGAACCCCCCCACAACAAAACTCACCAGTGCTTTCTCTTTGCAGCAAAGAAATGCCAGAGTGATTTCCCTTCCCAGATGGATGGGGCAGAAAGACATGTTTTGGAGACTTACCCCTCTACTCTTTCACTTCTCTCTCTCTCTCTCTCTGGAAATTGCTTTGGAAATTCTCTCTTTCCCCTCTTTCTTTTTCTCTCTCTGTGGTGATGCCAACTTTCTGGAAGTATTGTTTAAAAAACTGATAGGCTTCATGGCAGTTTGTAAGTATGGGCTGTTTGTAACTTGAGGACTGCATGTAGTAGAACTTTCTGATACTGTTGTCCTTCTAAGCCATTATTCTTAATAAGAACTGGGGAAATGGTCACTGGGTACCAACCATATACCTGAGGTTCATCTACATAATCAGCTCCCAATATGCTCTATGAGTTATGCTTTACAAGTTACCTGCTTCCATCTAGAATCAACAGTATTATCTGGAATGCGGCTAATACATGTTTTCAGTCCACCACCTTATACTGTTCTGCACTGCCAGCACTTATTCCATTTTGTATTGGAAGTATCTGGTCAGTCTAGGTAGTTAATATGTTCATGTTCCTTCCTGTTTTTGTTTCTCTGTGTGGCCCGGGGCATAACTACACTCCTGTAACCTTGGTAACTGAAATCTCTCTCTGACAAGCAGCACTGAAGATGCTCACTGGTCCACTCTTAATCTGCAGCTGCTTGGTCAGAACCAGAAGCCTGTCTTGTTCCTCCATCTGCTTTAAATGAGCTCAAGTGCTCAAAGCAACTAATTACCTTTCCCCAATGCTGTTCCCTGCCTGGTAGTATGGCAGAGCTCAACCAGGTCAAGATTCTGCCCAAGACATCAAAGCTGATGAACAATCAGCTCACAGTCTCCCTTGTTTAATTTACCGAACATTTACTAGAAGATTCAGAATGCAACCACAAGGGAACTTCCCTTCCACCCAACCTCGGAAGCATTCATTTTAAAAGCCATTGTTAAACATATTGCTGAATTCTGGCCTAGTTTAGTCACCCCCTGTGGGGACAATATCATGCTTTCCACCCCTGCCTTTGCTGCCTTCCAAGTTCACCACCCAGCCACATTTGTGTATAGCATTTCCATAGGATTGATGGCTTCAGACCTGAACAATGTAGTTGGAACAACACATATAATGCAGGAATCAATCATGGAACCTGGGTCCACCCACATTAGAATCTATGCCCATTGATAAGTAACCAAAATACCAAGTTAGAAATAATGTATTGAAGATCTGTCATTGGGGAAGAGCAGAAGAGGCAAAGAGAAGTAAAAGTAAAAAAGGGGAAGCAAACTAGAGTGCTTCCATTGGAGATTTGTAGGCTGAATTATAGTAAAGGAGGGTAACAAGAGGGCTCTAAAGGCTTTATGAGAGCTCTTCCTAATTGAGGTTTTATGTATTTATTAATTGTATTGTTGTCTTCCTGCTCACTTATGTTACTTTTTATTGTTGTATGTGTGTGTGTGTGTGCTGTACTGAATTCCTAAATGCTGTCTTGATATTTTCAGAAAGGCACCTAAGGATTCTTGTAAATAAAGAAATCATATACAGGTTTGGTTGTGATATTTAAGTATTTAACCTGATGAGATAATGGAAAATGGGAGGTCGAAAAGGGGAATGAGTTATCATGGCTATTTAGGGGGCTTCATACTTAAAACCTGGGCTCATTGTTACTCTTTATGCTTTATGAAGGAATAGAAATTATTATAGATCGAAGCATAGTTCATTTATACTAATGTATATCTTGTCTAATATAGCTTATATTTGATATCTTGTCCTCAGATATTCTCACCCAAATAAAAGGTAAAGCAAAACAAACAGAGAATGGACTCAATAGAAGCTAGTTTGGAAAAACTGAAGTCACATAGGTGTTAGGGCCACTTAAGAGGGCAACCTGAGACATCTAACCTCTCATTTGATCCCTAAAATAACAGAAGTGCAGGTATACAAGTGTCTTAGAAGAAATGGGTTCCAGTTATGAAGACTTTCAACTCCGGAAAGACCAAGAGGATGCTCAGACAAAAGCTCAACTATAGGCTTCCTCTGAGGAATGTAATGTGCAGGGTGAGGGTGAAACTATGTGTTTTACAAAGTAAGTCCCACTCAATTTAAGAAGGTTCTCTGGGGAAAGCATGCTTAGGACTGCAAGCTGCATTCAAGCAAACTTACACACTGCAGGTTTTTTCATGGTGAACTATGGGAGCATCTGTGTTCCTGTCTCCCTTTCCCCAACACAGGAAACAAACCTAGAAATAAAAGTAAGACAGGAATGCTTCTGTGCAAGCTGATGTTCTTGGCTGCTTTCTATGTCTATTTCCCCTGTGCCAGCAAAGCAGTGAACAAGTGAAAGAGATTCTATATTCCAAAGACTGTCCTACATGTTGAACATTCCCTGATTGTGTAAATAAGCAAGCAAATCACCCTTCATCCATGCATGTCAAGACAGGTTTCTTTTATATGTTTCTAGTTACCATTTACTATTTATACAACTTCTTTTATCATTGCAAAGCATGCTATAGCATTATTTTAAATCAAAAGAAATTAACTGACTAAAACATCCAATTCTCTTGACGCCTTCAAACTGTTCTATTAAATCTAGAATTTTAAAAAGCTTAATCCTACATGTAGAATGAATTGTTTAAAAACTACCATTTATTAAGCAATGATATAATAATTATATGCTTCAGCAGAACTTTTTAAATCCTGCCAAAGAACATGTGACCATATATACAGATCAGAGTATTCTTAACTAAAAATTAAAACCATGTTTTCACTTGCCTTATTAGGAACTTGTCTTTCATTCATATACATTTTGTTTTATGGGAAAGGTTGGGTGATGGGCAGAGGTGGAGTAGCATTGGGAAAGGATACTATAGGAGCCAGATTCACCCTTGTTCTAAACAACATTTTCTCATTTTGGCAGGAATAGATCCCTGTTCATGCTAGGCTCAGCCAAGAAACAAACTTGTATTTTCAACACTCCAAATATACCATATAGGCTAATGGAAACTTTAGAGGCGTTGTCCTTCCCAAAGGAAAACGTCACACAGATGTGATAATAATCTTAACATTTGGGACCAGAAAATGGCTCTTTAAAAGAACATTTTGCTTTCTTTTTTCATGGAATGGTTTTGGCCACCCCTTGCCACTGTAATAGCCTTATTTGCAAGCCAGTTAAGTGTGCTATCCCAAATCCTTGCACACATTCTTCTGATGCTTACCCTTTCCTCCCAAGGATTGAGTCTAGAACTGTTTGGATTGACACTGAACATTGAGGTCAGGCGTCCAATGACCTGGCATAAATTAGATTAAATGGAATTTAATTTATCTTAACCAGGCTTATAGTTGTTTTCCCTATCATTCTTTCATCAGCTAGCAAACTACAGAGTAGGTATTTTCCAATCAGCACAAGAAAAGTGGTTAAATATCGCTATCGGTGCCTGAGGACCTTTGGGCAAGACACCTTCAATGGTCCCTCCACTTAGGGACCCTCACTGCCTTTGTCAGCAGCTGTTTGTGCTCCTCTTCCTCACCTGGATTATCATGGCTACCACTTGCTTGCTTGACAGGCAGGCAATGGCCTCCATGACTCTTCCTCCTCATAACTTCCTTTGTCAGGGCTAGAGTAAATGCAAATGAACAACTGGTTGCAATGGTGGCAAGCCAAGTGAGCCCAGGGGGCTCTTGTCACCCTTCTAAATATCTTTCTACCAAACTTCATGCAATAACATCTATCACTTCAATCACTGGATACTTCCTCTGAATTTTACAGGCCTTTTATTTCTCTAACTTTCTTCCTTAAAACCGAAGTGCGGTTACAATTGGACCAGAAATCTCAATCTCTACCATTGGACCAGAATTGCCTTTCCCCGTGAATTCCCTCTTTAAGCACAAGCATTCAACAAGCATGACAGCCATCTTAAGAGGAGTTTGCAGAAACGGGGGTTTCCCTCAGCTATTGTGATTTTTCATGGCTGCCTCGCTGCAGAAAGGTTTTTAAATGGTTCAAGTGTGTGTTCAGCTGTCCCTTCCCCAAATGCATATTGAAGTCTACCAGATGTCAGCAACACTGGACTCAAGAAACTTTGTAAGTTACAGCTTAGCAAAAGGTGATGACAAAAATGCAACACAAAAGAGACCCATGTTAATTAAGCCTTAGGGTATTTAAATGTTATTTTTAACAAGCAGACAGTGGAAAGAGGGTCGGGGGAAGCTGAACAAAATGTTACAGTAAAGATACAACATGTATAATGTGGTGCTAAATTCATATGGTACTAAACTGAAATTTAACCAGTTATTCATGGAGAAGCTTTTACATCAGATTACCTTATGCAATGTAAATTAGTGCATTAATTTCATAATTGGTGCACTCTGAATATGTAATTGCTTGTCAATGAAAAACAAATTTAGGCACAGTTACATTATTGAAACTTGAGCAAAATAATATACATATTAATTCTATCTTTTTAATAATTATATCAAGATTAAACAGACTTGGTATAATCTACTATTTCAACTAAGGTATCTGAAAACTCCATATTAAAATCTTATTCCACCAAACTTTTACAAAGGAAAACCCTGATTCTCTACCTCACCCATCCAGTTTCGCACAGCTTTTTCAACACTTTCATCTATCATGAAGGGATGTTTATCTAGATTACATTGTTGTCAAAGAGTGCTCAGCTGCCATTTTGGGTTTCAGGGATGCCTTGTCTCAAGATGCTATGACTGGATTACGCAACTAGTCTAGAAAGGATCCAAAACTGGAACCAAGTGTAGTTGACAGCTTCTTGCCAAACTCCACTGAAATGGACAAGGAAGCATCTACACTATCTAGCCCTCCATTTCTTAATTCAAGCAAAATCAACTGTATCACTTATCAATTGTCTGAGAGAGCTCACAGATTTCAGCTGGCCTTCTAAGAACTACTGTGACTCCCCTAACAATACTCCTTTTTAACCAGGAATAAGATAGTTGTTTCCTTCTGCATACCCTTCACCATTCTGGGATCATTCTGAGTTTTTGTGACTCCACCAAGGCTATAGCTATCAGAGACCCCCTAACTAGAGAATACCTTCATGAATCATTTTTCTAAATGACTTCAGATGAATGTCACACTAGCTTTGGGTTTGGAAATTATAGTTTTTGGAATTTCTAGCTGCTCATACACTTTCAAATCCCTCATTTTAGAGGGTTCCAGAAGTGGACCTTATTGTGACAAATGTTTCCTAAGTGATCCCAGATGACCAGCCTTGAGTGCATTTTCTACATTCGCTCTTTCATAGAATCATAGAAGTTGGAAGGGGCTAGAACGCCATCAGGTCCAACCCTCATGGATGCCACCTACTAAAGCCTTGCAGCGGCTGAAGAAAATCTACTGAGGATCCCTGCACCTTCCCCCTGTGTTCAGACAGAGAATAAGGAGAAATAAAATACTCTTTTTCTCCCTAGCTTTTCAATTAAAAGTTCTAAGTATTAGTTCATCCTTTCTTTGGAAACTGAAGCAAGACAATCCAAAGTTATTCAAGCTATACCCCTTTGCATTTGGGAAAAGTGCTCATTCTGGGCCAACTCTACAGGAGAGACATCAACCTGTTCCTAAGAAGCATATAGTCAAGAGATGTAGTGGAAAACAGTTTTTCTAGCACATTTGAGAAAAATCATCACCCCCATTTGGTCCTTCATCTTCCAAAACAGCTTATTTACACATGTCTTCCAAATTTGTCATCAGAAGAAGTTTCCAGACAGTTTTCCCAAAAGCAGCAGGCTATAAAACCATAAATCAACTAAGAATTGGAGAAAGACTACTTGGTGGCTCAGACCGAAAATCTAAATGATGCCCTCAGCCCCAAAGTACAAATTTAACTGTAAATGAAATAACAAGAAATTGACTGCTTTTAACCAAATGGATAGCACTGTCATGATAGTGTGGGGCTATGGTTGCTCTTCAGCCAATACTCAACCCATCAGGGCCAAGAACAATCCATACAAGTACTGGCAGAATTCACAGTTCATGGGTAGATTAAGCATACTGGTCCAGCATAATAGCAGCCATTCTGGGTGAGGCAAAGGCCTATTGAGACTACCATTCTGCTCACAGAGTGGCTAACCACATGTCCATGGGAAGCCAAGAGCCATAATGTGAGTTTACCAGCACCCTTCTGTTCCTGCTTCCCGTCAGCCAGCATAATGCCCCTGATACTGAAGGTAATAGATAGCCATCATGATCAGTAGCCATTTTTAGCCATACTCTTCATGCCAGTTATTTTATCACCCACAAAAGCATAATGGAATTTTACATTAAAATTTGCAGTAAGAGGACATTAACAGAAGCCAAGGGCTGCTTCAGAATGAACAAGATTCCACTGCAGAAAGCCAGGGTGCAGGTAACTCTCTCATAATACTAGAACTCATGCTCAACCAGTAAGGCTGAATGGTGAGAGATTCAGGTCAGTTAAAAGGATGTACTTTTTCAGAGACAATGGTTAACCGATGGAATTCACTACCAAAAGTAGTAATGGCTGCTAACTTAGCTAACTGTAACTTTAAAATGGGATTAGATAAATTCATGGGCAAGAAGGTTGTCTGAAAGCTACATATTATTTCCAATATTGGTGTCCATATTTCCCTCCAGATCCGTTGCTGGGGAACGCAAGCAAAAGGGCATAGTTGTGCTCATGTCCAGGTTCTGGACTTCTCGACAGCATCTTGTTGGCCACCAAGGGAACAAAATGTTGAGTGGCATATTTTGGTCCGATCCAGCAGCCACGTCATGGAAAAGCCTCTCCATCTGTACATGGCACACTATTTTCTCTGAACAACAGTTTGTTGCGAACCAGCCCTTAAGTCACATATGGAGAAGCACGAATACTTTATTTGGCTGTAGTACAAAGGTTTAGCAATTCATATTTACACATATCTACATTGCATCCTGTACCAAGAATTCTGTCACCAGCCATTCTAACAGCAGTGAATTGCAAAACTAAAATTTGAATCTCTGGCAATTTGTTGTCTTTTACAATATTCTATAATTATATTTCAAAGTTCCTAATGAAATTTAGGACTAAAACACTTAGAAAGCATTGTTAAAATGCACATTTATCAGCATCCTGTCTTTCCATCAACAATGGCTCTCAAAGAGTCTAATGATATAACTAATTACACTTTTTCCTTTGAGAAAGCCTCTAATTCTCCTGGGGAAACCTCCACTAAAATATTTCCACTAAAATATTGTTTGTGAAAGATGCAAACAATTACTTTTCCAGGCCAAAACAAAAGTTAGCTGCCCAGTTTGCATGAATAATAGAAAATTAGAAATCTTGAAATTGTTATTAGTTACACCCTTGATGAGGCCTTCCAGGAGAAAAGCTAACCACAGAAAATTTTAACTCCAAGTTCCTGGTGACTAAACCAGAGCTCCTTGCAAAAAGGAAATTCAAACATCAATTGTTTCCAGACAAGATGTGGCACTATTTGGACTTTTACCCATCTTGGTTACAAGCCCCGTCTCATTGCACCCTCTGCTATCCACACAGCCGTCTTTGTCACTCACCTTATGTAAGAACCTCGGTTATGTAATTAATAGCTGCTGCTCATTGTAGCTGAATGGCAGTGTAAGTAGCACATGTGAGAACCTTGGACTTCTTCCCTATGGCACATGCCAATGCCTGATGACTCAGCGCCAGCAGGCAGGGGTCAGAAAACATTTTCGGAAAGATTTACTGTGGGAATCCTATTCCATATTGCTTGGATCACAAATAATAGTATCACTTCATATATGATGACTTAAGCATGTGTTAGTGGAGTTAATGGAGAGAGAAGAATTCACTGTGTGGCACCATTCATACCAGGGTAGTAAAGGCACAGAAATGAAGGCTTTGGAATTCCACGATGGGATCATAAGAACGTAAGTAGAAATTGGCTTGGTCAGACTGAACACTGGTCTAGATGTTAGACCAGATGCTATGGAATGAAGTCTGCACACAGGACATCTCTGAGCTTCCTGCTGAAGTGGTGGAAATTTTATTTTTTATTTATTTATTTATTTATTTATTTATTTATTATTTATATCCTACCTTTTTCCTACAAAGGGCTCAAGGCAGCTTACATCATCCATCTTATCCCCTTATTCTAGAGTATTCTACTGATTTCTGGCAAGGACATCAAGGACAGACATTACAGGATTTTTTTGAAATGGCAGCCAAGGAGGTGTAATTCAGAAGGTGCCATAGAAAAACAAAAGCAAAACAGCTGTCCTACTTAATACCAAACCACTGCTTCCCCCAAATAAAAATGGTTAATATGGGACAAAATGCCAGTCTTCTTCTTCTTCTTGTTTTTTAGCTTGGTCTTGAAAGCTTCTTGAAACTGTGGTCTAACACTATCACAAAGTTCTTTCCCTTTTGATGGCCATTCATAACTGGGAAGCAATAAGCAAAACAACAAAACAAAACAAAAACAAATTTGTCTTGGCAGAAATCTTACTGCAGGGACAAAATACAGTTCCAGTTTTAGGTTTCACAGATGCAGGGCCTAAATTATCTGGTCTCTCTTCCCCTTAATGCAGTCCGGAAGGGCTCCAGTGTTTCTATGAGTAGCAGTACAAGGGATGGTTGGGGTAATAATTTTGTTCTGTCGATTTCCATTGTTTCAATCCCCAGCCAAGTTATCAGACCAGCTAAGGGGTGAATAGATAAACCCATTAATTCATGATAAATATCCAATAGAGCTAGGAAGACAATTTAGATCAGGGAAACTTC